GGGGGGAGGTCAGGGTTGCGGGTTCGAATCCGTGGTGAGGCACAGCTGTTGTACCATGAGTGAGATATGCCATTCAGATTGCTCCACTAAAACACCCAGTGCTAGGAACAGGTCCCCCGGCAGATACTCTGAGAAATTTTTCTCAAAAGGCTTTGTCAAATAAAACCATAACAAACTCACATCACTCCCTTCCCAGAGTGGAGGTGATGCTCCACTTGCATCATCTAAAAGCTCTCCCATTTAGACATACTTGTCATTACAGGCCATCCTGATATACCTGGATATGCACAACAAATGTTTTATCAACCAATTCTTGGGGAAAATGAGGAAAAACTATCTTTTGAATTGTCATCTTTTGAATAATGAAAGCAGATACTTTGAAACTAGTGCACGCCACGCATGGCCCTGCTCCTAACCGGGTCAAACGATTGCAGCTGCACTCTTTCAGGTCCACGTCCGGAAAGGTCGTGGAAAAACAGGTCCAGAGCCCACGGGCAGGCGGGTCTCTGCAGAGTGGCGAGACGGCACCAGGCCGGGCACCAGCGAAACCGATCCCCGACAGTCGCTAGGAAACCCGCATCATGCCGGCCGATCCGAGCAACCGGTCCAAAAACCAGAAGGCACTTTATCCTAAAATTGTTCATCAAGCCCCAGCCCGACAGGACGAGCTAAACCCGCGTTGGAAAATCCAGTAATGCAGAGCGGACCACGGCTCGTACAGGTCTGACATCTCGACAGAGGGGGATGTCAACAGGCGCTCGCTCGACACGCCTGGTGCTGCCTCTGTGATTGAACAGCGCTTGAAGACGGGGGTTGAGTCACGGCCAGGAAGAGCCCGGCCCGAAGGCTTGCTGAGAGTGAACGGATCCGACTCTCCGCGTCGTTTCCCTCTCTCGGAGTTGACGTCAGAGGGAGAGAAAACGAAACCAGCTCAGACCCGCAGCTTCACCGCTCACCCACAAGCAAGACAAACTTATCGGGGACGCCCTGAACTTTTCCATTTTCCCACCCGAGACATCTCCATCTCCCGGCTCCCCTGGAGGGGGCTGTGCGGGACTTTAAGCTGAACGATTGAAATGACACCCCCGCTGCCGAAAGCCAATATGAACGCAGTTACACTAGCAAGCCCCTCCAATGAAAAAGTAGCGAAAGCAGCTCGGCGATTGCTGTGAATTCATCACGTACAAACCCCTGCACCTACACGGACCGAGTCAACGCAGGGGATCGCTGTGGCGGACCGATCTTCAGTCAGGTGAAGTGGGGGGACAGGGGAAAATGAGTTAATTTACACCCTGTCAGATCACAGCCTCGGGTTTCCTCTCCGGCGATCGCCTTACCAGCTGTCCCCGGCGCGCAGCCTGTGACCCTGGATAATATCTTCTATCTCTCCGCGCTGGGTCTCCAATCCCGGCGGCTCTGCCGACGAAGACGCGGTAACAGCAGCAGCAGCCATGATAGATCATCAATGTCTGTGTCTGTGAGGGTTCGCGAACTGCCCGAAAAACCACGGAACAGCAGATCGATGGGTCCGACTACCGCCGGAAGCAGGAAGCCATCCGGGCTGAGAAACCACTTCCGGGGGTGTCACTGTGAAATCAGTCCCCCGCTGCCGCCGCACACGCTTCGGCCGAGAGCACGTTTCACCTGCCTTTTCACAAACATTCCGATTAGTTATTAATAATCCGAAGTCGCATTTTAAGAGGGTGTAGGTTTTAATTGAAGAACACAATAATAAACACTGGTATTTGTATGATTTATTTACACCACTAAAAGTACTTTTTACAGTTACAGAGTGAACACTTGAAATAACTTTCCAATAGGATGAACAAACTACATTTCACTGAGTGTGTTATCCTCCGAGTTACAGCAGTGGGTGATGTCTTCGATAAGCACATCTTTATCGTTCTCATAATCACATGTTCCACTTTCGCTCAGCAGGTGGCGCCCTACAAACACACAACGCTGTACTGTTGTAGAGGTTTTGTGTTTGAACTACAACAGAGGAAGGACCTTCAAATGTAATAAATAACACCTCCATTCTATTATTATTATTATTATTATTATTATTATTATTATTATTATTATTAACCAAATTCTTATACATAATACAGATGTAGGTGTAGTCAGTAAATAGTGAAATTCATTTATGAAAGAAAAATAAGTAGACTAGAAAACACTGTAGAGGCAGCAAAGGAGTGTTACAGTATGTGTTGGTACCAAAGTCATGAATAAAAATAAAGGCAAGACAGCCTGAGCTTGAAGAAGACACCTGTGAAAACAATACAGGTATTTCTGCTCCCGCATCTTCTTCATCCTGCAGTCAGTGTGGGAAAGCCTTAAGAAAGGCAAATAAAAAAATAAAAAAACAATTTTAATCCAGGGGTGTTGTGTTAAATTTGTGCAATGCACTAGTAAGACGGTATCTGTGTACAATTCTGTTCACTGTCACACAAACATCCTGGCTGTGGAATCAGTCCTAACTGGGTCCCAGCCCAAATGACTGGTGTGTTCCTGGGCTCTGAAGGAACATCCTGCACCGAACAATGAAACACCCCCCCAAAGACACAAGAGGAAACTACAGGGAAGTGCATTCAGGGCTGAGAACAGGAGGCACTTATTTACATCAAGAGTGGAGGGAGCCTGGAGCAAGAATCCAGCAAAACAGATATCCAGGTGTATTTCAAGAAGCTGGATGTCATAAGACTTATTAGCTACTAGCAACCAAAAACAAGCTAGGCTTGCTGACTTGCATCCTGTTTTTTGCAATCTTGCCACTATCCCCCTATAATTCTGATTATACCACAACAGATGAAAACAGCGACCACTGTAGTGTACAGGGAAGAATGGCAAGATCATCAACATTGTGGAATTTAGCCCAGACACTGGGGTTAACACCCTTACTCCATGGAACAGTTCTATAGGACCTTCAGTGTTCAGACTTTCAGGAACTCCTACAGCTCAGTTTCCCAGTCACCCTACTGGAGTATTAGTCCAACTACTGGGCCACCAGCACCACTCACAGCAGCAAGCTGGTTTTCCCTGGAGGTCTCTCCCTCCCCTTTCCAGTGCTGACCAGACCCAGCCCTGCTGAGCTTCTGAGACCTGATTAAATCAAGCTACAAGGTGGTAACAGTGCAGCTTGGATTTAACTTTTCTTCTGCTCAGGTTTTTGCTTATTTAGTTTGATCATTTCATTCGACATTTTAACCCCCCGTGACGAACTAGTCCAGATTGCCATTGATCGAGATTGGTCACATCTACAGTCATGTTTCCTTTTTCGTTATGTGTTCTTTTATTCCCCCCTGAACCCCTCTGCCCTAAACCCCAAAACATCCCCTCAGCCTGGTGTACAGTTGTCAGGGGATGTGTGGATCTGAGACAGTGCCTTCGGTCTGCCAGTGGGGGGCAGTACAGGGACAGCCAAGGCTAGGACATAAATGGATGTGACAGGCTGTCAGCGTTGTAAACAGGCTTCAGCCTGGCACTGCATCTAATCGTTTTAGATTGAAGACTGGTGTCCCATTATTTGCCCCTCTCTCGGCCCTCCTGAAGGCTGACACTGGCTTTTCCTTTCACCTGACAGTCCACTCGGAGTCATTTCACACCCGATTTGCCTCGGTGGCCATGACAGAGCCGTGCTGCGTGGGGGACATGATGGCTTTCTCACCTGCCCGCCCACTTTCTAGGCTAAACCGTATATTCAAAGCTTTCAAACCTGCATTTCGTGGTCTTAAACCGTATTGATATGAGATTATGCTGATGGGGACATATTTAGCTACACAATGAAAAATGCATCAGAATCTACAGAATGCAATTCGTCACCACGTTGCATAAAAATACTTGTGCTGTGCAAACAGAATTTGCTATTAAACATGAGATCCAAAGTTTTTTAAGGTCGTTTAAGTTATAATTATGAGCACCACTCGCGCTCTGGGGTGTAGCGCGCAGAACGCGTCCTAGAGTTTGTTCCACGCAGGGGAAGAAGGCAGAGACGCGTTTGAATAAACTCTCCATCTTAATGCAGCCTGATTCATGAGGCTGTTACGCCGTGTTGCACCGCGACCGGATCTTAATCGAGTTCGGCGGCCCCCTCCAGAGTACAGCCTTTCATCCCGGACCGCGGCTCGGCAGTTCTAAAGGATCCGAGGGAAAGTTCGGTTCCAAAAGCAGGCTCGTCTCGGGGAATGGCCAGCAGCAGAGACCGATGTGGTGGAAATCAGTGCGTTTGCAGTAGTGAACAGATTTCAGTAGAAAAGAATCCCATGTTTATTACATTATCTGTAGAGAGCTCTGAGTGGAGTGTCCCGAAAAGCGCTATAAAAGTGTAAGCAATTATTATTATTATTATCAGTCTTACGAATGATGGCCTACAGCCGGCTGGTGGTTCCTCTCCTGGGCTCCAGTGCACAATTAAGTGCACTGGTGGCTCTGTGGGCAAGGATCTGCGCCTGTGGCTGGAAGGTTGTCAGTTCAAAGCCTGCGGCCAGCAGAGGAATCCTACTCCGTTGGGCCCCTGAGCAAGGCCCTTCACCCCAGCTGCTCCAGGGGCGCCGTATAAATGGCTGACCCTGCGTGCTGACTTCAAGCTTCTCTCCCTGTCTGTGTGTCTCATGGAGAGCAAGCTGGGGTATGCAAAAAAGACAAATTCCTACTGCAAGAAATTGTATACGGCCAATAAAGTGATCTTAATCTACAGTGTATCAGGTCCAGGCCTCCTTGAAAGCAGGGCATTCTGGGGCTGAGCTCAAAAGAAGAGCCCGATTTTCTGCTTGGTGTTTCATTGGTGTTACCTCGCAGCTTGGTTCAGCGTAGAACGTGGCATTTTTATAAATGCATCATTACAGCATTATTATTTAATTCTACTGTAGCTTTAGAGTGCGTTTATAAGAGAGAAATCAGCATCTTTGAGAATCATATATACATATATTCGTTCAATAAACACATTTCATTTTCTTGTTTGAAATAATTAAAACGGAATAAAAAAAAAACAGAGAGCTGGAGTCCGACACAGACAGTTTAATCATCCCGTTAATCCCACAGCTCAGTCCCTCTCCTGTAGGAGTCCGCAGGACAGTGGCTGAGCACCAGTGGAGCTTCTGCCGTATTTGAAAGCAGTTTTGCGAAACCTTACAGTGCACTGTGCTCGCTTACGATGACGCAGCCGCTGAAAAGCGATCGGCGCTTCTCCCTTTTTCTTCCTGATGCTGAAGGAGGCGCCGAACAGCGGCAGGGGAGCGGTCCTAGACGCGCACAGGCTGGAACGCGAACACGCAGTTCTGCAGGCAGCCCAGGGCTCGCTTCCGATCGATGAGGGCCTGGCTGGGGGGCGGCGGGGATCTCGGCTGATCGAGGCGGAGATCTGAACTGGGGGATCTCGGCTTCATCACAGCGCAGCGCCTTACACCCCCAAACACTTCCAACCAGCAGGACCGCAAGCGCACACGATCGTGATATCGAAGAAACGGGCGGTTGATAGTGGTAGGGGATGTGTGTCAACAGTTTTAATAGGAAACCAGACGACGCGTTTCTACTGGGAATGCAGAGTTGTTCAAGGGGGTCGTGGGGTGCCCTGGCGGTACAAGACCCCTGTGCTGCAGGGTTCTAAACTCTTGAAACCCCTACCTGGACAGCAAGGTTCCGTTGTCCAGTCTGGCCAAACCCTGAGCTCAATTACAGGGGTACGAACGCGAAACGGGAGGAGCGCAGGGCTGTCCAGCTCTGGGGTTGATCTCACCTGCGGGGAGAAACCTCTTCTGTGCAGGGTACAGCCCCAGCTGGCCAACCAGAACCAATTCCACTGTCCCCGAGTTTGACTCTCAGTCCACTGACATGTCTCAACTGTGAAGCTGAAGTCAGCGGGCCTTGGGTCTGTTTTAATGTCCTTATCCCGCACAAGCTTGACGAGGAGAAAACGTGTTTGCAACATCATACATCTGTTATCTTTATTGTTCTTTTATAAAAACATGAAGAGAATACACCGTACATCTTCCACACGTGTGTGTGTGCGTGTGCGTGTGTGAGAGACAGTGTAACTCCGCAGCCCATTCTCCGGTGCACGAGAAGGAAGTCACTGTCTTTCCAGCGCTGTGCTGGACCTCTAAAGGTGCTTTTCCCTCAGCTGAATGGGAAGATGATGTTTAATTTATTAGGTCTGCCAGTGATAAAAGTCTTACTTTTATTAAGTTGACAGAAAATAGCAGATCACTGGGAAAGTGCAGTTTTTCTCCCCAGAAAATATTTTACAATGATTTCCACTATCACAAATCCGATAATGTTCACACTATTGCTCATGCTAAAGATGATGATTGACTTTCACATGTATTTTAGGAGCTCAAACTATGTTAGATCGCACAAAGTAAAAAAAAAAAAGCCTTTTCCTCTTTTGCACTGACACAAAAACTAGAGCACGCACCATGCAATTAAAACTTTTATTCTACTTAATTATAACGATATAGCAGGCTGTTCTCAGTTTGGAGATGATAACATTTACCCAGAAGTCTCCCGTGGGGCTTTTGAAACGTCTCTGCTTCTCTAAAGAAGAAAGACTTGCAGCAGAATAAGCACATGAAATGGTTTTTCCAAATAATTTCAGCTGTTTTTTTTCCAGCTATCGAAACACAAGTGACTTTCTTTGATTAAAATAAAGCTTACTTTAGAGGGATGGATTATTTTCAGACTTGATCAGTTGTGTGTTACAAAAAAACTACTATTGTGAAAACTTTACAGATCCACCAGAGTGAAATTACTTTCAACTCTAGGTCATACAGTGCCTGTATATTGGGAGATTCACAGGTTCATGTGTATAATTATGCCCCAGCAGCTACTCCGATCTTAAGCACCAGTTCTTTAACTGCAGCGGACTGATGGTGAGGGTTTTACTCCGGTGTCAGTCCAGGTGATCCATGGGGAATGTTGTTTCCTCAGCCAAAACTGAGCTCAGCTCACGCATCAGGCTGTGAAAACAATTTCCGAGGTGGACGCAGTGCACCCAGATTGCTGCTCTTTAAATGAGATGTGCATAATTCATGAAATGATCAATGCGTTATTAATACCACAAAACCCGGCTCTCAGCAGCTATGGGGTTTGGGAGTCGCAGATCTCGGATCACTCATGGTGATCAGCCTGTTACTGGAAGTTTAATTGACTTATTTGCATACTCGGGCTATTCCCCCAGAGTGTGTTTCCATTCCCTCAGCCACTGATGCTGTTCAAATCCCTTCAAAGCCTGCAGGACTCTTGGGAACAGCCTACAACACCAGCCCCCCCTCCAGATGTACACACAGTCCAGGTGACTCTGCTCTCTCAGCGGCGCCGTCACTGGGCCACAGGCTCAGGAAGCTCGACGTGGTCCAGTGGGTCATGTGCTGGCGACCAGCTGGCAGCCTGCGCTGGCGATGCAGGGAAACACACACCCCCACAGACACACGCGCTGCCCCCATGCTGCCCAGCCAGGGACGTCCACTGGCTGAGGAGTCACTGACCCAGGGAGCATCCTGACGCTGTCCGGCCTCAAGGAGATTCTCCCCGTCGATCTTCACACGTCAGTGCTGCTGAAACTGAGCTAACTCACTAAGAGAACACTGTTAGCACGTGGAACGAAGTTTGAAGAGGCACAGCTCGGACCTCTGTCCTCTCTGTGAAAACCACAGGAAAGTTTTCTTCAGGTTTTAAAAAGATGCCTCCTTATCCTCTGATCTGACTCCCTTGGGGCCCAAGTAGTTTAAACATTTAGTAGAGGTAAGCTTTCAAGTCCCCGCCAAAAAATTGTTCTTCCCAATATCTTTGTCTTATTTTGCATATGATCAAAGTTGCAGGTGTCCTCCCTCACCAGGTATTTATATCAAAGTCTTTTTTATCTCAAAGAAAAGGTCGGTGTGTCTTTACATAAGCAGCCTGCACCTCAGTCGCTTTTTCCTCAGGGTGAAGTTAAATTCTGTCATACGATGCTCGTCTCCAGAAGTGGGGACCCCTCCTTCTTTACTGGCTGTTAAAAGTCGGGGTTGCTGTAGTTGATGTAGGCCATCTTAGGGGCACCTGCAGTGGTCAAGCACAGAAATTAGAGCCTGATTTGATGTTCGACAAACTTTTAACACTAATGAGCTCCCCAGAGGCCCAGATCTTTATAAACACCACAGCTACTTTTAAGAATTGATAAATACAGCCTTATTCAAAATAATAAAATGAACAAAACTGTCCTGATTCTTTCCTGCACTTCGAGAGAGTGAGGACAATTGTTATTTGTCGTTTTTGGGTCGCTCACATAAACATAACTGTGACACCTTTGTGTGATAAATATATCACAAACACACGCCACGGACACAGCTTCCAACTTTTTAACTTTTTTTTACAGTATTAAGTACTTCTCATTTAGTCTTCCTCCAAGTGTTGGAGACAAAACACTTTCGTTTCTTTAAGCAAGGATGCGGTATTCAGCCTCCATTAGGTCTCTGAGATCGAGCACCTAAGGAGCCTCATTCAGAAAATCACTCTCAGGAGGCAGAAGAAACCGATTTGAAGGGAGTAAGAAAAATGGACAGAAACCTACAGTAAATAATGAGACGTGAGCCCTTTCGAACAACAGAGATTCTGTGATCACAGTTTAAAAGGTAAACGACAGGTCTACCCAAGGGGGCTGGAGCTCCTTGATTGCTTGTGCACAAAGCCTGCGTGTCACATCGGCCGCTAATCGGAACCCTCCTCACAAACGGCCTCTGCCCAATTAAACACCAGCTGGAGGAAATCTCTCCTCAAACATCGCCGGTCTACCCCTCCGTCCAATCTGAGCACCTCACCTGTTATCACACCCTCTACTTCCTGCTTTTCCCGGAACAGCGCTCGGTAGTGTTAGCTTCTCCGGAACTCCGTACCTCGCATTATTTACTTCCTCTTGCCTTTATTGGATACTCGAACCCGGATCTCACCTGCTGACCCCCACCTCGTCTAGCACTTTGGATTTGTCTGCCCCTCTCCATTGGGATAACCTTTGGTATCAAACCCGGAATTGGCCCTCGACCACGTCTCTGCCTAACGTTTTGGACTCGTCAGAAATCTCCTGCCTGGGCTCCCCTGCTCTCCGCACAGGGTTCCTCCCTCGAACAACAGCGCGGCCTGTTACACTGCAGACTCCACACCTGCTCTTTGGAAGGGCAGTTTCATATATACAGAAAGGGAAAGCAGCACAGTTCTCTCTCTCTCTCTCTAAGCCAATGTGCTACTTTCCCTTCTCCTGGCGCTCTGGGCCTCCCAGACCGCCTCGTTAACTAATTACCCTGCTCTCAGTCTGTCACCATGTGGAGCGAGGGCTCCAGGCCAGGCTGGCCCTGTCCCACTCTGGCCACTCACTCCTGCAGATGGCCTGGGCATCTCTTCGGGCAACTTGCCTACAGTTTTTGCAGTTCAGTTCAGCCCGTTGATTTAATTATTTATACTTTTGGATCATGATCTGACCCTCGGGGGTCCTTTCGGGACTGCTCCTCGTCCCAGAGGGCTCTCGGCCCCACGTCACACGGCCGGGAGAGTGAGGCTTCGCTCCGATGGGAGTTTTTGGCAATTTAACACACCGTGAGTCTCGTCTGACATGGGGATCATCGGACCTCTTTGTGCTGCGTTCTTTCTCATGAATAGAGACGTGTCTGATGCCCCTGCTGTCCTGAGAGCAGGAGGCTGATCCCTACAATGTTTAATTTAAAAATGAGGAGGGGAGGTACAGTGTTTTGGGGCACTGCTGTGTAAATATGGGATTTCATGCCCCAGGGAAGCAGCAATAAATCATGATGGCCTTATGTTACAAATTAGTCCTCACTTTGCAGATAGGCTCTTTCATTTCCTTTTCTGCTGATGCCTCTTTGTGATGACCGATTGCATTAAAACTCTGATGGCTTCCCTGGCGGTACTAAGCATGGATTCTTTTCTTTTGGCGTGCAATATTAGCAGTCTTCCACCGGAAGACTAATAGCAGGAGTTATGTTCTGCTTCACCAGTTATCGGTTTTGAGGTCTTTGCAAGAACAAGTTCAAGCAGTTGAAAGTGTGCTGAGAACGTCACCTGTCCGTTTGAAACTTCATGTGGTGTGACTGCAGCAAATGGCCATTTCCTGGCCTGCTCATGGAGATTTCTCCTCCAGCCCCAGTCCTGTCAAGACAAGCCTGTGTGGGCACACATAAGGCCACCCCTTCCCACATGAGCAGTATATTGTGCAGGCTGAATTTGTCTCAGGTGTAACTTACCAAAGTTCAATTCAAACGGCTTTATTGGCACGGTCGATTAATTACACTTTTGCCAAAGAAGTCTAACTGTTTCCCCTAGTCTCTATGACCAGGCTGTGGTCACATAGGCAGTCGAGTCGTCTCTGGACAGCAAGGTCTGCCTGTGTCCAGTTTCTATGACCATGCAGTGGTCACTGTGCCTGTCCTCTCTGGGCAACCAGGTCTGTCTGTGTTGCTCAGTTTCTATGACCTGGCTGTGGTTACATACCCAGTCGAGTCATCTCTGGATAGCCAGGTCTACCTGTGTCCAGTCTCTATGTCCGGGTTGTGGTCACTGAGCCTGTCCTTTCTGGGTATCCAGGTCTGTGTGTGTCATACAGTTGCTCTGTCACTCTGTTTCTGTGTCCCCCAAGCTGTGGTCACTGAGCCTGTTATTTGTATAGTTTATCACTATGCTCCTACATTGTAGAAGCAGAGAGGTGACATACTCTTGTATGCATTGAATGAAATCAGTGACCTGTCAACTTCTGCAAACTGCAATAATAATCAGGGCTAGAGCTGTGATCTAGCACTTACTACTGTACACTGTGTTTGACATATTGCTCTGTCGGAGCAGTTTGTACCACACCCTGCTGGTACAACCCCAGCTGTAAATACTGCACAATATTGTGTAAATCTGGAGGCAGTGCAGGATGTTGGGTCTCTGGTGGGTTTTGGGTTAAAGTTCCTGCGGTTGCACTCTGAGCAAGGTTCTTTGCTCCAGTTGCTCCAGTCCGCCAGCTGTATGAATGAGGACCAGCATTGATGGTGGTCATCCCTGTGATAGGCTGGCGTTCCTTCGGGGGGGCGGAGTCATGCGCTCTGTTTCCATGGAAGCCAGGAAAAGCCCTGGGCCAATGAGCCTCTGTTGCTCAGATATGGAGATTACCTAATGTGGAAATGTGGCTGATTACCATTAGTCCTAGGCATGGTTTGTTGGAGTTAGAGTTAGTGTGGGAGTTAGAGTGGTGTGTGTGTCTGTCCTGCTTGACATCTGACTTGCATTGTATTACACGGAGATTCAGAGAAATGGATAGTTCAACCTCTCTGCGTGACACGTTAATCTGCAGCTAAAATAACTTTAATTATATCATGTAAAGCGTTTTCTCCAAGTGTGTGTTGCATTCTATTAACATTTTTAACGACTGCCTTTAAATATTTTCTAGCCAATCAGTCTGCAGGACATGCTTCTGTTGAAGGAAGATAAAAAATTAATCGTTTCCATTTTCAAAGCCGAAGACATGACTGCATGGTGGCTGAGCTGCAAATCTTTGCACTGAGCGAAAGGGAGGCAATGTGGCTGAATGAAAAGACCTAGAGAGCTCCATTTGAAAGTGGTAGTTTCTGCGTGTAACTGCGCATTGCTCATTGCGCAGGGTCTGAAAATCCAATGCCAGCTGCAGGACGAAGCTGCTCCAGCAATGTTTCCACAGAAAGAGAAATAAAAATACAGGAGGCTGCAGCCCAGCCTTGGAACGGGCATGAGGGACCATCTGAGTTCCTACTCCTACCAGATCAGCCACCTTCTCACAAGGAAGCTGGAGAGGAGCAGGTGCTCTTGATCACTGCTTTTTGCTCGTCTGTTATTAACTTGACCTGCTTCTTCATGTTTGCTTCGTTGTGGAACAGGTCCAGGCTTGATGTTCTTCTATCTTCGCTGAGCGCTTGGGTAGGGGGGAACACACCAGCTGTCCTGGGACACCGTCGGGCACGGGAAAGCAAGGTAGCCCTGAGCCAGGGGCCAATCTCTTGGCACCACGGCACCAAAGAATAATCCCAACAGCTCTAGACCGATCCCAGCTACACCGGGCACAGAGAAGCAGAACACTGGCCCGCCCAGGGCAGCCGAAAGCAGAAAAGCAAAGCTTCCCGCCCGTATCGTTCCTGACGGGTGGCACGCTGATGTGCCAGGGAGGACAGAGCTGATGCCTGCAGCCAGCGCCACACGGCCGCCGTCAGCGCCAGGCCAGGCGCAGAAGAGGCAAGGAAAGCGCCAAGGTCACTGTGAGCCGACAGCTGGACTTCCTGGTGACTTCGGTGGCCCGAGCCCAGCTCTGCGCGGGCACGAAGGGAATATGATCTCACTCCTGGTCTGAGTCCTGTTCAGCGGCGTGAGCAGGGTCTTAATATAGAACAGGGTTTTTGGATCATTTCTCTTGCCTGAAGAAGGCAGTCTGCCTCAGAGCTCTGCCCACTGATCTGTAAGGCTTTCGCAGCCTGGGCTGGGTTCCTAGCTCACGGATGGAGAGATGTGTGGGATTTGCTCTTTGTGTTTCATTCTGTGCTTTGGATACTGCAGACGCTGGCTGGGGTTTAGGGTATTTACGTCATTCCACTGATTCGATTCCACTGTTCATAATGGGAAATTAAAGTGCCATAATCCCAGTGATCGCTCGGCAGAAGAATGTAATCATTTTTAGACCACTGGTACTCTGAAATTGATGACAGGCATTATTAAAAGATAGTTATCGAGCAGAATCAGGTGAAGCCTTCCTATTTGCCCATGTCATACCACACGTGGCTGCTCCTCACTTTTTGCACAGGCCCACAGTGTGGGGCTCACAGCCTCCAGAGATCAAGATAACGAACCTCCCCCTTCACTGGGTCTGAGGTCTTATCTTGGGTTGGGTGACAGGTGTCACTCAGAATGACAGATGATTTGCATTTACATATCAATCACAGGGAGAAACAGGAAATAATTAAATATGTTTTTAAATGTTATTGCATTATGGCGGCCGTTGTTCATTGAACATTGTGTTCTCCACACATTCCTTTTTCTGGGAAATCCTTCCCAGATGTAGCTCAATCACTGGATTCCCTCAAGGAAGGAATTCTTGGAGATGATGTACAGTAGCTCAGGGATGGGATTCCCTTTTGAAAGGAATGTGTAGAGATACTGCAGCTCAATTTATTCTTAGCAGAAAAGTATTAAATAGCCCAATTATGCTATAATTGTCCGATTAATGGTAACAATTTGTGAAAAAAGAGCTGAGCTGCTCTTCAAAAATCAAAAGATGTTTCAGTCTGGAGGAGCCTGGAGCTCAGTGTGTGTGTCCTGTGGATTTCTGGTCACACAACACCTGTAATATTTAATTCCACCAGACAACGGCTGGGGATCCGAGGATCAAAGAAGATTAAAGATCTCTGAACAGAACCTGGGGAAACTATTTGAAGAGCTGAGAATGTAAAGAAAAGAATCTGCCAAAATTAAACCCATATCTATTTGTGGGTTATTTTTGTCTCTGTCAAACATATTTTCTTACTGTGAGTCACATGAGCAATATATGAGTAATAACAGAGTAACGTGCCTGTCAAATAACAAAGAAGCTGCTGTTGTTTACACTGAACCCCACTGCAGAACTCTCGAGCCACGTCTTAACTAAACAAAACAGGCAATAACAAAACAGATCCCTGAAACAAGAAATAAATACGACTTTTGACTGCTGCAGTGCCACAACGTTCCAATGTCCCCTGCAGCCAAATTAAGGAATGCTTAACCCATGGGGACACCTGATTTGCTGTTTCCAGGCAGCGTGAGATGAGGAGAGCGCTCAGGAGGTTCGTGCCTGGAGTGGAACTCTACCTCAAGGTGCTTGAACTAATTCTTTTTTCTACTTTCATAATTTATGTGAAATATTATTTTTACACATTTGTGCATCAGCACAAACACAACAGAGCATCTACTGTGTTGATACATTATTTAGTCAGTATGGCTGTATGCTGCTGTTATTACGTGCCGGTTTAGCGCTAATGAGAGGAACTGCATGGAACTCAGCACCTTGGTGCGAGAGTAAAGCAGGGAAGGAGACAGTGACCAGGAGAGAAGTGGGGGACAGGGGGACGTCTGTGCAGGGGAATGATAGATCCTTTCAGAGTGAATAAATAGTTCAAGATAAAAAGCTGCTGACACAGAGAGAGGTCAAAGGGCGCTGGTTCAGGGCACAGGCTGAGCACCTGTGTTGTGTCATTAGTCCACTTTACGGGACCTTCAAATCTAACAAGATCCTAGAACTACAGGATAACATATAGAAACTAAATAAATTCCTACTACCACAGGATAACATGTAGGGATTTTAACATAACTGTTGTATATCTTGTAACTGTAAGATAACATACAGTATACAGTAGAAACTATATCCTATGACTGACTCAAACCAGCTGGGTCTGGGTGGCCTTACTCAACCTAATTACTCTCAGATTTCGACCCCGTCAGAACTCTGCGTGCTCTCAGTGTAGTCGGCTGGACATGCACTGCTCCTCCAATCTGGCCTGTTTGTGAGTTAGACGTCACTTCTCATTCACCTGTGTCCTGAAAGAAGCCGGTTTATCGGCTTCAACAACATGGCCAGGCCAGTTTGTGCCCTACTCCCGCAACCCTTTGTGTAAAGAAATGCCTCCTAGCTCTTGGTTATAAGTATACTCCCATGTGCTACTAGAAAAAGCAAATCAAAAGTCGATGATAAAATCAAGACACTCCAGTACAGACTCTCAGCTGCGGTGTGCCAGTGACGGGGCCTGGGTCTGAGCCCACTTCTGTGCCTCCCCTGCGGGACAGCGGGAAGATCCCGCTGCAGTACTGAGCGCTGCATGTGAGCGGAGGGGAGGAGGGGGCAGGCGGCGGAGGTACTTACTCCTCAGGGCCGGGGAGACGGAGCAGGAGGTCTGGGAAAGGCAGCTCGCCGGCAGGACACAGAGAGAGAGAGAGAGGCGGATACGTACTTGCTGTGCTACTTACTGTCCTTGCTCTCCTCCGGCTTGGCCTCGCCGTTCTGCTTGTCGCTGGACTTCTGGGACAGGCGTGTGGACATGGTGGCGGCCTGCGCCACGGCCTTGAAGCTGCGCTTGCGCTTCTGCACGTTCTGCTCGGGGTGGAAGATGATGACGTAGACCTTGGGCACGTAGAGCATGCCCAGCGACACCGAGGCGCTCAGGCTCATGGACACGGTCAGCGTCGCCGTCTGGATGTACATCTGGCCAGGAGGCAAGGGCAGAGGTCACGACCAGGGGCCGGTGGTCTGCACGAGTCCTTTCTGCGGGCACGTTGAGAGTGCGTCTCGGCCAACGTGACCAAGGACCGGAGCAAGACCCCCCCAGGCAAAGCCGGCGTCATTGGCGCAGAAAAACCTGACATAACGAGCTGAGCTTGTAAATGAGTGAGAGGCTTGAAGAAGTACGAGGTCTAAAAATAAATAATGAAAACCCTAGAAGGCATAATGCCCATTTCCACCTCTTTTTTTTGCTCGTTTGTTCCTCCTGTCTGAAAAAGCCCATTATGACTTAAAAGCCTCTTCGCCGAATTAGGAGGACTCAAGGAATTCTGGGACGCATGGGTGAGCTGAAAGCACTGCTAATGCAGCCAACACAGAAGCAGTGTCGTTAGCTCTTGTGGGTCGTGTGTGTGGTGAAGTGGGGAGGGGAATCATCCATTTTTGCTGGAGTGAATTAAAATGGAAAATTAGTGCTTTTGCCCGCACTTTATTTTTGTTTTTAAAAACAGTTTTGATGCATTTTACATTCCCGGTGTGTTTTACTGACACTGAGTGATCCCAGGCTGGCGCTCGGCAAGGCTCTGCTGTGATGGGGGGACGTTAAAAAAGTGAGTCATGAATTTCTTTCTCGGGGTGACCTGCAGCTGCTGTGGCTGCAGAATCTCCGACTACATGCGCTGAGATTTGCAGACTAGACCTGAAGTGGGAATTTACTATAAAATCTATTAAAAAAGTAAAAATCTATGTATCTCTGACTTAAAGAATACTCTTGCAGGTCAGGGTGGGAGGTAAGAGCAGCACTCACAGTGAACTATGGGTATTCAGATCAATTAGCTCTTTGTCCAATCACAGTGCGGGATTTACAATCTGTCTTGTATCTCAAGTCCATCGCCTGTTGCATTGTGATTAGACAAGGGACCAGTTCATACTAAATTCCCCCTGTGCTCTTTTCAGGGGAGGCAGATTCTATCTTTGCACATCTTCTTCCTCATCCCTTTCTCCCGTTTCACCCTCCTCCCTTCATCTCCTTAATCTTTTCCTTCAGCCTTCTTTGTCTTTCTCTTCTTCATCTTCATCTTCTTCCTTATCGTCATTTTCTTCACCATCTTCATCGTCATCTTCTTCCTGGTTATCGTGTTCTTCTTCTCCATCCTCATCTTCATCCCCTTCTTCGTCGTCTTCCTCTTCATCATCTCCATGTTCACTATCATCATCTTCTTCCTCATCATCATTTTGTTTTTCTTCATCTCCTTCTTCACCATCCTCTTCCTCTTCGCCCTTGTGCCGGCCTGGTCTGCATTTGAAGTTGTCTCTGGCCTCGGCCTCGACTTCGCCCCCTGGCGATGGACCCCCCCCTCCCCCCCAGGACGGCTCTCACCTTCTCGCTGGACTGGGCCGTGCCGAAGAAGATGGGCACGAAGGCCAGCCAGACGATGCAGGTGGTGTACATGGTGAAGCCGATGGGCTTGGCCTCGTTGAAGTTCTCGGGCACGCCCCGGCTCTTCACGGCGTACACCGTGCACGTCACCATCAGCACGATGCTGTAGCTCAGGCAGCAGATGAGCGACAGGTCCGACATGTCGCACTTCAGGATCCCGCGGGCCGACTCCGGGTTGGGTGGGCGCAGCTCCTCGTAGTCGACGGTGGTGTGGGGCGGCACCACCCCGAACCAGACGAACACCCCCAGGACCTGCGCAGGGCCAGAGAGAGAGGGGTGTGAGGCTGGGGCAGGACACAGGAGCGCAGGGCAGTGGGACATGTCCTGTTCTCTTCACTGAATCCCAGAGAGTGAGCAGGGCTTGGTGGGGGGCTGTAGGACTCCCTGCTGCACGCAGAAAAGAAGTCAACTCAACACAAACATAATAGTTAACTTTGTCCTATACAGAGCATTTAAAAGCAATCATTTCAAGGCTCCTGATGTAGGTGGTGTGCGTCTATACACCTCCAATACTGTATGACCACAGCTGGTCTACTGGTTAATTTCCTTCATTAAGAAAGAAACTTAAGATCAGATCACTTTATTGGCCATGTACAATTTCTTGTATATTAGGCATTTGTCTTTTAACATACACCAGCTTGCTCTCCATGACACACACAGACAGGGAGAGAAGCTTGGGGTCAGAGCACAGGGTCAGCCATTTATACAGCGCCCCTTGAGCAGTTGGGGTTAAGGGCCTCGCTCAGGGACCCAACGGAGTAGGATTCCTCTGCCGGCCGTGGGATACAAACCGGCAACCTTCCAGCCACAGGCGGAGATCCTTAGCCACAAAGCCACCACACCTACAGTAGCTACTACCTACCAAACCAGCTAAATGCATCGAATGAGCTCCTACTGTTTGTAAGCTTGCTTATGTTCCTATGTTCAAAGCAGAATCTATTCTAACATCCATATAATCCATATTCTATTGTAGCTACCACATAATTCTACAGAAAGGTTCCTCCATCCAACTTTCCTGGAGTCTCAGCACTTTTGGAAAAACTCACAGCAGTGGGTATGTCCCCCGGGCTTGCACTCCTGCGCTGAGCACAAGGGAGGCATGGCTAAAGACTTCAAAGACTGACTACCGAAATGCCCTGGGTTTGTCATGGATTTACTGCACACAGTATCGACGTAAATATCAGAATGGGCTGTTTAATCATTGTGATTAAGGATGGATTTGAAAAGGTCTCAGACGCTTTTAAGGGAAACTTTAAATGTCACTCCTGCTGCATTGGCTGCCTCAGCAGTCTGTGCTCCTGAGCATCAGTTTGTACTCCGCAGTCCCTTTCTCTGGCTGGTTCATGAATATGGAGATGCACAGCTCTCCTTGCGCCTGTGAAAGGTCTTGCAACAGCAGCCTGGTGACATTGCTGAGCTGGCAGGAGTGTGCAGTCAAGGGGTGAATCTGTCTTGTTTCTTATACCACTGTGCAGCCATCTGCACGGTCGGGTCAGTCAGGACCTCAGTATAATGTCCTATCTGAAGGACGGCGCCTCCTGTGTACGTCACCAAACTGGGGATTGATTTGGAAATCCAGGACCAGGGGGAAGAGCGCCACCTACTGGTCCATTAACATCTTCTCATCAGCAGCAATCTGGTTCTCCTCAGATGTTTCCCATCCCAGTACAGACCAGGTTCAGCCTTGCTGAGCTTCCGAGATCTGTCCCAATCAGGCTACAAGGTGGGCTTTAAGAATACGTAAAAGACATGTAAACTAACACCCGTTTTCTTCCCACTTCTTCCAACACAGGGTCATGGGGGAGCCAGAGCCCATCCCAGCAAGCACAAGGCTCAGGGCCGGGTTCCCCTGGATGGGACAGCAGTCCATCACAGGGCACACACAGACACAGACACACGCGCACTCCCATCAAAGCTAGTTTTCCCACAAGCCAGTTAAACTACAAGTATTTTTTCAGACTGTGGGAGGAAAACATACAGGCCAGTAGGAGGCGCTCACTCTGCGGTCTGTGTGGGTCCTAATGCCCCAGTATAGTGACGAGGACACTGTACCGTAATAAGGTGCCCTGTCCTTTAGATGAGAGGTAGTCATTACAAATCTCAGGACATTTCTCAGAAAGAGTAGGGCTGTAACCCTGGTGTCCTGGACAAATTTCCCCTCTGGCCTTTACCAATCATGGCCTCCCAATAACCCCCCTCTCTGAACTGGCTTCATCACTCTGCTCTCCTCCCGACTGAGAGCTGGTGTGAGGGGAGCGTACTGGTGCATCATTCGGGTGGGAGCTGCACACTGGTGGTAGTGGGATTCCCCATTACCTGTAAAAAAAGCTTTGAGTGGAGTGTCCAGAAAAGAGCTATATAAGTGTACGGAACTATGATGATGAAACGCAAAAGTAAACTCCACCCACAGGAATTCAGCTCAGGGCCCAGTCCTGCAAGGCAGCAACGCTGACCACTGGACCACTGTGCCACTCGTACATCCCTTACAGTGACACCAGAATTAGTGCATCATTGACAATTTGCAATAAAGCCATTTTCTGGCCTTGGCCTCAGCACGTGGAGCCCGCCGCAAAGCTGAAATAAGTATTGGCGCTGCCTGGCGCTGCTGGCACACCTGAGCGCCCTCACCTGTATGGAGATGAGGATGAAGGTGATGACCAGCTGGGAGGTGGGGCTGATGAAGCGCGGGGGGGTGACGGACTTCTTGCCCTGCTCGAAGATGCGGTAGATGCGGTTGGTCTTGGTGAGCAGCGCGGCGTAGCTGATGCACATGCCCAGGCCCAGGAAGAGGCGGCGGAAGGCGCAGACCACGGCGCCCGGCTCGGCGATCATCAGGAAGGTGATGGCGTAGATGAGGAAGATGCCCGTCAGCAGCACGTAGCTCAGCTCGCGGCCCGAAGCGCGCACGATGGGCGTCTCGTTGTAGCGGATGAAAGTGACGATGACGGACGTGGTGGCCAGGATGCCCAGGATGGCCAGGAACATGGGCAGCATGGCCCAGGGGGAGTGCCACTCCAGCTTGATGATGGGCGTGGGGCGGCAGGCCGTGCGGTTCTCCGTGGGCCGCATGTCGAAGGGGCACATCTCGCAGGAGAACTCGTCCGCCTGGTACTGGTAGCCATCGCACAGCTCGCAGTGCCAGCAGCATGGCACCCCCTTCACCATCTTCTTCCTCTCGCCCGGCTGGCAGGGGAAGCTGCAGACAGAGTCAGGCACCCGCTGCTCCCCACCCGACCACTGCATTTCCTCCACCTGAGAGGAAGAGCGGGGAGGAAGAGTAGGGTTTAAGAGCACACACACACTCTGCCCCACTGCGCAGCGCAGCTGCAGAGACACAGGGGGCGGTTAACACACACACTCTGCCCCACTGCACAGCGCAGCTGCAGAGACACAGGGGGCAGTTAACACACACACTCTGCCCCACTGCACAGCGCAG